CGTTTTCTATGTCCCGAGAGCTATGGTTAACTTGCCTAGGTTCAGGGCGGGGCTCTCAAGGGTACCCGCTCAGGGCTCCTTGTTACTGCTCCTGGAGCCCACCTGACGGGTGGAGCCGGGTGGAACTTGCTGCTGCACCAGTTGGAACACCTAGTATTATACTGAACCTGGCGAGAGAGTGCCTACCCGACAGGAAACATAGACTAGTGGTGAGAGTGGAGAGATAAGAACAAAGAAAATGGGTAAACAGAGTACCGCAGGGATCACTGCTGGCGTCCACCTTTCTCATATTTTTTTCAGCGACGACTAATGAAACAGATCCTTCCTCTCAGTGTTCGCCGCGATGCAACACTGCTGGGAAGAGTCAAAACAGCAGTGTTGCAGAAAGCTCGTGTTGGATCAGGACAAAACAAGAGATGGGTTGAGAAATGGTTGTTAGGGTTTAATCCAGGAATATTCGTCAAATGCAAACATGAAAGGAAACGTGTAAGCGACGACTTGTTCCTCGAGGAGCTTGTAACGACACACATGTCGCTGTGCGGCCTTAAACCAGCAGCAGCTGCAGGCGGCGGGGCAGGAGGAGTCTGGCGCACCTTCAGCGAAGGAAAACATCTTTGTCACAAGATATGATCCTGGGAGCGGACATTTACCTTCTACAGTGTGTGTATAAATGGTTGTATATCATGATATCATTAACTCCACACCGGGCTCACCACAACCCGTTCAGCCTGGAACTAGTGTTCCGAGTGGCTGAATCTAAACAACAAATGATATCAGTGTACACCAGCTCTACGCTATAGAGCCCTGAGAGCTCTGCACGTTCAGGAGCGCCAGCACCAGGTGCTCACCTGGACGTGAGCCCCGTGCTCATTGCTCGCCAAGGTAGAGGGACGGAACTATCAGGGGAAAGCACCAAGAAGTTACGACTATATAGCACATGGAAGGAATCAGGATAAGGATTTGGGATGGTAAGGGGGGAAAGGCATGGTGCCCAACCACTTGGACGGTCGGGGATCGAATGCCGACCTGCAGGAAGCGAGAGCTTCGCTGTGCCGATCAATCCAAGTAGTTGGACTCACCAAGGTGAAGATAACACTAAGAAACATCAAGAGTATATATCCGTCAGTGTATATCCGCCAAGATATTATACACAATATATGCGACTCCAGCAGTAGTGCTGACAGCGTCAGCACGCGAGCCTCGCCTTATTATGCAAACAAAAAAGTATGAAAAAGTCCCCACGAGAAGGAGCTGAACATATAAAATATTGGAAAAATTAATGAACAGAGAGGACATGATTACGATATACAAGTTACTTGAGGAAACTTGCCAGATGGGCTGACAGAGGTACTGCATGAGGGGGGGAGATAAACTCCACACACGGATTTAAGTAACAAAACTCTCGCATGCTAATGCCACATCACATAAGATGAGAAATAGCTAAGAGGCGGGTTCCAAGAGCTACAGATCCTTTCCCAACAAAGTCACATACATACGAACGAACAAACACACGCACACACAAACACTTCCCTTCAACTATCGTGTTTATGTTCCGAGAATTTTGTTATTATCTACAAGGAAAATTAGAAACCTTGTTAGGGCGGGAAAATGTGCATCTGGTAATGGAAGCCTTTGTGAAGGTAATTAAGGAAACCTCACCAGCCTCTATCCTCAGCCGCCAGCACACTCTACAATTATCATTCTCTCTCTCTCTCTCTTTCTCTGTCTCTGTCTCTGTCTCTCTCTCTGTCTCTGTCTCTCTCCGTCTCTGTCTCTCTGTCTCTCTCTCTCTCTCTCTCTCTCTCTCTCTCTCTCTCTCTCTCTCTCTCTCTCTCTCTCTCTCTCTCTCTCTCTCTCTCTCTCCTTTACAATGATATATCGCTCAAAAACTGGTTGTTTGTTGGAGAGAAGTGCATGTCCTCATATTTATATATTGCACTATAATATAAAGCTATACAACAGTGTATGGTAGGTTTAGATAGCACTGCAGCATATATGTCTATATAACAGTGAAGTACAGGTGTATGCAACACTTTAGGGTAGGCTTAGGTATACTTAGAAGTGTGGTGAATGATTAGGAAAAAGTGCCAAGCCATAACGACTATTTAGCACTTGGAAAGGGTCAGGATGAGGATTTGGGATGATAAAGATCCACGACTGAAGAAAAGAAACATTGCAGGGTTGGGGTTCGAGTGATCATTAACTTTGACAGAAAATGATGCGTTAATTAACTGAGATCGGATAATTAACCGAGTTGATTAGCGGAGACCAACGATGCGTTAATTAATATGCCTGACGATACCTGCAGCACTTGACAAAAATGAGTTCCCGTAGATTTGTTGACCTGCATGTGACTTCTGACATTGTTGACGACAATGACCTCCTCGTCGACCTGCAGCACCTTGGAGTCCGGAGCAAGAACGAAGGAACTTTCAAGTGTGTGTAAAGTGATTTACACTTTACACTTTTCAGCCATTAAACCCTGACCTACAATACTAATCCTGACCTTAAAAATCTTCCTAGAGGGCTGTAACAACCCCTAGTCACCGCACGAGAAACAAATATGTACTTAAAATTCCAAGAGTGCGATATTCCACAGCAGAAATATCATACAAATCAAGGGTCTGAAACTTTTTGAATGACCTCCCAAATGAGATTAAAAACTGTACTTCTCTCGACTAGTTTAATGGAGCTATTTTGGTGAGGGAGGTGACGTCGAAATCGTAGCGTCGTCTGCTGTCTGCTGTGTGATTTCTTAAAGGATAAACTAAAAAAAAATGCCTCATAGTCAATATGTGGCCAGTTTTATCCACACATCCTCGTCCTATATCAACCTGTGTTCTCCTGTTTGTATGGACTTTAAATATTATATCTGTATAATTGCTGTAACTACAGTTTCTAGATAATACAAATAGTAAATCATTTGCTAAATCTCTGCCATTTCAATTATGTTAGCATGCTACTCGTTTAGTATTAAGTTGTTACCTCATTAATCCTATAAATGGCTCAGTTATGTTAAGTTACGCCAGGAACGCTCCGCATAATAGTAGCCTCGTGTAATATGCGCTGTTGTACCCTTGTATGGTCTACTGTATCACGTCTTTTATGTATTTTATTTAATAATCAATAATTTTTGTATTATAGGGTTCACCAGCATCCACAGGATGAGTATGGCCTTCATTATACTCATCCGAGTATGATATACTCGCCTTCAGTAGATCTGATATACTCGTCCACGGGACGAGTATTTCAGTAATTTTATTTTATTATAGTAATTTTCTATACTTATCCCTTAGAAAATTTTCTCCGTTTTCTCTCAAGGGTCTGGAGTTTGGAGTTATTGGCGACCGATTTGTATTCAACAAATTCTGCTTGCGGGGGTTGAGCTTCGGATCTTTAGCCCCGCCTTTCAACTGGCAATCAACTGTGTACAGCCTCCTGAGCCTATTGAGCTCTATTATATCTACATTTGAAACTGTGTATGGAGTCAGCCTCCACCACATCACTGCCTAATGCATTCCATCTGTCGACTACTCCGTTTTTTCTAATGTCTCTGTGGCTCATTTGGGCACTAAGTTCCCACCTGTGTCCCCTTGTTCGAGTACAACCCTCGTTAAATAATCTGTAGTTATCTACCTGTGTGTGTACTCACCTATTTGTGTCTCCTGCTGGATCGATCATTAGCTCTTGGACACTGTCTTTCTAACCGCCGGTTATTAAAAGCAATGACTCTTGTCCTCTTAAAGATACAGAACACACAAATTTCAGGAAGTGGTAGACGGTTGAGCGGTAGTGGTAGAGTGGTTTTAAAGCGTTATATGACAAAGAGTACTGGGAAGACGGGACACCACGAGCGTAGCTCTTATCCTGTAACTACACTTAGGTAATTACACACACACACACACACACACACACACACACACACACACACACACACACACACACACACACACACACACACACACACATGTGGTGGTAGGTGAACAAGGGGACACAGGTGGAAACTGAGTACCCACATGAGCCACAGGGACGTTAGAAAGAGCTTTTTCAGTGTCAGAGTAGTTAACGGATGGAATGCATTAGGCAGTGATGTGGTGGAGGCTGACTCCATACACAGTTTCAAATGTAGATATGATAGAGCCCAGTAGGCTCAGGAACCTGTACACCAGTTCATTGACAGTTGAGAGGCGGGACCAAAGAGCCAAAGCTCAACCCCCACAAGCACAAATAGGTGAGTACACACACACACACATTAAACCTTTCACAGTTCACTCAGAGAAGCCATCCATAATGTGCTTCAATTATGTCCATTAATATAATGGCTACAGACATGTGGTTTAGTTTCTCATTCTCAACTTCAGACTTGTGAACGTCAAAGTCTTGGTGATTAACTTCTTTCCAAACTTTGTAGACAAGTTTAGCGTGTGTGATATACTTAGCAGTAAACTTGGCGGTTGTGTGAGAGTTGTGTTGGGTCAATGTTGACGTCTTGGACAAACTTCTTCACGCTCAGAACTTTTTGTGCACGGTAAAGTTTTGACTCATGAGTCATGCATTCTTAGTCTCCAGGACGATACTGTACAACACACGCCCGTCCTCTGTGGACACGCCCTCGGGGGACACGCCCGTCCTCGTTGACACGCCCACAGGGGACACGCCCGTCCTTGTGGACACGCCCTCGGGGGACACACCCGTTCTCGTGGACACGCCCACAGGGGACACGCCCGTCCTTGTGGACACGCCCTCGGGGGACACACCCGTCCTCGTGGACACGCCCTCGGGGGACACGCCCGTCCTTGTGGACACGCCTTCGGGGACACGCCCGTCCTTGTGGACAGAGCCCATGGACTCCTTGCCCCCAGGGAGGAAGGAACATGTTAGTGGCCCCGTGGAGCATTGTGCCCCACGGGGCCTCCCTATTGAGAATAGGTACAGGAAGAATATGTAAGAATAGATACAGAGTAGTTGATACTGAGGAAGGGTAATCAAGCTTCAGCATACAACATAATACAACTTTTAATTCATACTGATATTACATAAATACAATCAGCTAAAAAAAACTGAGTTAATCAATAAATTTCGTTAACAGATTTTTATGAAACGATTTCCATTGGCTGTTAACAAAGTTAAAAGATATGGAAAGATATTTTCATATTATAAAGAAGCCAAGTGGGGATTTCGTCACGCTGTTTGATCTAAGGATTGGAGAGAAAGTTCTGAACATTTGACTACTTGGTAGTTAAACAACAGTGTACTAACAAGCAGTGAAATTATTATCTGTCACTGTTATCCACAAGACTTGTTGTTAATAGCAACGCAAAACATAGTATATATAATCACTGTTTTCTGCCTGTCTGTCTCTCTCTTTCTGTCTCTCTCTCTCTCTCTCTCTCTCTCTCTCTCTCTCTCTCTCTCTCTCTCTCTCTCTCTCTCTCTCTCTCTCTCTCTCTCTCTCTATCTATCTATCTCGTGTCATAATTCTGACCTCAAGTGCCTTGTGTAGATGGGTGTGCAGCATCACTAACACGGTTACCATAGTAACATCAAGGGCTGTGGTTGTGCACACTCTCGCCCCTGAGCTGAAGTCTGCGTTCCTGCTTCATTCGATGAGGTCTACATGATTTCCCTGACACAGGAAGTAAGGAGCAGGCCACAACATGGACGATGTGATCCCTAAGTTGGAGATAATCAAGGTCATATTGGTAAGGGCGACCCCGATGACTTGTCCAGAATATGGCGTCCCGTCTCCCCAATAGGTCTTGTTGGCGATCACCACTATGTCCATACGCAGAGCTGCAGTAAGGACAGCTCTGGTGAGATTGTAATATTATTTTATGTGGTTCTGTGGTATCGTTGGTGTGTGTGTGTGTGTGTGTGTGTGTGTGTGTGTGTGTGTGTGTGTGTGTGTACTCAACTAGTTGTGCTTCCGGGAGTTGAGCTCTGGCTCTTTGGTCCCGCCTCTCAACCATCAATCAACAGGTGTACAGATTCTTGAGCCTATTGGGCTCTATCATATCTACACTTGAAACTGTGTATGGAGTCAGCCTCCACCACATCACTGCCTAATGCATAGCATCTGTTAACCACTCTGACTATAAAAGTTCTTTCTAATATCTCTGTGGCTCATTTGGGCACTCAGTTTCCACTGACTCAGTTTGTGTGTGCGTGTGTGTGTTGTGTGTGTGTTTGAGGTGGTGGTATAAAAGGCAAGTTTCATTTGGAATTTCTTGAAAGAGACTAATGTTATCAATTCCTTTACATGTCCCTTTTGAGCGGCTGTCACCTTCAACCATCTCTGTATTCTTGAATTTACCTGCCTGAGGGCCGCCATTTCTCTAGTGGCCTGGATGAGGACAGGAAGCCGGCGGCTTATCAAAGGCCCTCCCATTTTTCCTGGAAGAGGGGGAATGTGGGGTGGGGGGGGGGCTGAGACAGATTATCCCGGACACCGCCGGGTACCTCTCATAGTAATAATTAATATATATATAATAATATTATATAATATATAATATACATGCGAAGAAGCTTGAATGGTCCACAAGGCAATATGAAACCGAAAACTCCTTACCCCTGAAGGATTCGAACCCAGATAGCCATAGCTTCATGAACCTCATCTTATCAAGTACTATACCAACTAATCCATACTGACTGTACAAAAAAATTTTGAAAGTCGTGAGACTTTTACCCAACACCCGACAGCATTCGATGGGCAATTTTAGAGTACATTTACATTTGACTTAATTAGAGGTCCATGTTAACTTCCCAGCTTAATTGCATTGACTAAAATACACATAAAAAATGTCACACAGGAATATGATCTAACGAACCTGAGCCTGCTTGTGCTGCCAGAGCCTTGCCGATACTCTGCTGCTGTTCCGTCTTAAGCATAGCCAGCCTGAAGCCCGGGATCTTGGAGCAGTTACCCCGGCCTGCCTGTGTCGTGGTGACCCTCATGTTAGGCACGAAGTAGTGAAGCTGGTCCTCTTTTTGCACCACATTAATCACGCCAGTCAGCGTGTCTGAAACGATTTTGAACATTTGGTTAAACTTCTGTTCAAGTGCTTTTTTATGTGATCTGCACTGATCAGTTCACCTATGATGTTTTTTTTTCTGACTTACTGTGTTCAACCTGTTGAGTTGCAATTAAAATATATATATAATAAATATATATATATATATATATATATATATATATATATATATATATATATATATATATATATATATATATATATATATATATATATATAATATTAGTTAGTCCAGCACTAACACCGGGAAGGAGTTCGTGTCACCGTCATTATCGCTCGTGACTGCCGCTTACAAAGTTTTGCTGGTGCAAATTTTATGAGATTTTGAAATTGTTCACTATATAAGGTGTTGATGACGTGTCACTAAGGTGTAGGTGCTGTGGCACGAATGGTTTAGGATAATCACTTCACACTTGGCATGTTGAGTATTACTTGTACTGAACATTGTCGCATAACTAATTATATCAAAGACGTTTATCGGGGATATTTAGATACAGTAGTTATGCCTTAATTACATATCTATATTATATTATTAATATTTATTATTATTATATTATTATACTATACTTTGGAGGTATAAGACATTAGAAAGTAGCACCCACTACCCAGGGACAAATATAATATATATATATATGTGTGTGTGTGTATGTGTGTGTGTGTATGTGTGTATGTGTGTGTGTGTGTGTGTGTGTGTGTGTGTGTGTGTGTGTGTGTGTGTGTGTGTGTGTGTGTGTGTGTGTGTGTGTGTGTGTAAATCACGAGGAAATTAACACGTGATGAACAATGTGACCGTGTCAGACAACGAAGGAAGGATTAAGACAGGAATTTCCTTAAGTACTTACGTATTTAATAATCCTTCTGATCCTTGTAAAGTTTGAGCCTACCTTCAGTAAAGCCATAGACAGCAGCGGAGTTGTTGGTGAGGGACGGGGTGAGAAGGGGGCCTTTGGTGGCGTGTAGACAACTCCAGGCTTCTGCCCTCATCTCCGCCGTCCAGGCCAGGCAAGTCTGGTTGATGAGACACAACGCCTTGCACTCGCCTGCACCACCACGTGTTCAGTGGTCGGGAAGAAACGTGTGGCACCTTTATTAATGACTGCTCTGCAGGTACCCCCAACTGAGGTTCTTTTTGGGGTATTGTACAGAAGGAACTAGTCTCTTGCTCTTTCATTCGTCTTTCTCTATTTCAATCTCCATCTCTCTTCACCTTTCTTCTACACTATCCTCTTCTCTCTCCTTCTCTTCATACATCCCTCCTCTCAATTCTTCGCCTTGCCTCTCACCCTCCTCCCCCTCTTTCTCAGGAAAATTATATCAAGAATTTTTGTATTAATATATTTAAGCTACATATGCAGTATGCTAAATATCTTTAGCAGTAGCTAAGGAAAGGGAAATGCACATTTTTACTACTTTAGATATTAAGTTCAAGTTCATATTTGGCCGACATTTTACCTACATTCGGACCGACAGTGTGATATGACCGTTACCACAGCGTTTGTCAGCAGTCTACAAGACCTCATTCGTGTTTTGACTCATTAACTCACTGTGACTCACATGGGTAGCTGACGTTGAAGGTGTTGGAGGCGTCGCTGGAGTTGAAGGTCATGCCTGGCGCCGTGAAGAACCTCCAGCGTCTGAGGGAGAGGCCGGGGTTCAACACCACCACCAGCGTCCCCAAGCACAACGCTCCCCACACCTGCATCTCCTTCTGCCACAACATTTATTAAACAAATCAACACAAACTATATACTTACAAGAGTTCTTGTGTGGTAACACAAACGTCAGGTATGTTCACCAGTTCTTGTTCGTAAAACAAGGGGGCCTGGTCGAGGACCAGGCCGCGGAGACACTAAATGCCCCAAATCATCTCAAGATAGAACAAGTTATTGCTAGTTAACTCTGTCAAGGAAGCATTACACGATTCCAATAAGAACTGTTCTCTTAAAATCCTCCATTTGTACAATTTGTGACAAATACATTACCGATTCCTTTTTAACCTTTAATTATAGTACATATGTCCTCAGAGTGCATAGCACAATGATTGACGTAGTCGATTCGCAACTGAAAAATCCCACGTTCGATTCTCGTGGAAAGACAGTGACGTTTGGGCAATATTCCCTTAACTATACTTATATTTACTATCCTAATCAACCTCCCTCTCCCACCTGCCTGCTGTTGACTAGAAGCCGATGGAGAAGAGCGTCGGTTGCCTGTCCGTTGGCGGCGCTCGTCGCTGACTGAGATTAAATATTTCCTTACTGCTGACCCACTGTCATTTATATTTAATCATAGAAAATGTAGTCATTATTGCTAGCTTACCTGCTTGCTTGCTCGCTTGCTTACTTTACTGACTACAGGATAAGTTTAGTCATACAGAAGTTAAATTGCGAACATAAAACTTGTAATATAGTTCTTAATAGTTATGGGCTGCTTAGTATGTGTGTGAGTGTATGTATATATGTTAACAAGGACACACGAAGTGTACTCTACCGCGCTTCTCAATGTACTGTATAAACACTAATATACTTAATAACACCACTCTGGTTGATAGGCCTTTTAAGCCCGACACCTAACCAAACCCGAATATGCTCTTATAGGACGAACATTAGCTCCAGGACCCCGCCTTCCAGTCGCTACCCTTATATCAAAATGGTAATCGATCCTTTTGCTTATTGAAATACCTTTCTCCGAGACTTTGTATAGATTTATCTACGTCATGGTAGATAATGGCTTATATCAGAGATGGTATCAGATCAATAGCTTATATCAGGGATAGTAGGAATCCCCAGAGACAACTCGTGTTATCCTATAGGAATTAGACTTATCGCCCCCTCACTGTGAATTTCTGAATCCTTTCTGTTAGATACTCTCGCCCATTGTAGTCCTCTTCCGGCTGCTGGCGCCTGCTTTCCGAGTTTGTAGTCTTGTAACTGGGCTTAAAGGAGTTACGCTTCGGCTCTTTGGTCCCGCCTCTCGACCCTCACTCAGCTGGAATACAGGTTCCTGTCGATCCTATAATTAGGTGATCAACCCGTCCTCTCACATATGACAGAGCGTCATTATATGATGTATTATCTATTTTCGAAACTGTATAGAGTCAGCCTCTACCACATCACTGACAAGCGCATTCCATTTGTTAACTACTCTGACACTGAATAAAATCTTTTTAGTGTTTCTGGCTCATTTGGGCCAGTTCCCCCGGGTTCGTGTACCACCCGGGCTAAATATTGTCCTTATCTATAGTATCAATTCTCCTGAAATTTTTTTGTGGTAATCATATCTTCCCCTTGCTCTTCTGTGTAATAGCATTTTATTCGAAACTGTTCCAAAAGTTTTTTTAAGAAGTTTGTTAAAAAGTTAAAAAAAAAGTCTCCCTTATAATGTGTGTTTGTGGGGGGACTGTCCTTCCTAACCTTATTGTGCTTCGTGTATACACTCACGTGTCCTACTACATATACAAATTTCCACCAGTAAGGACACATACGAATTTTTATATCTGACGTCATAGATTAACATGATATATTCCACTCCCCCCGCCCCGGCCTCCCAAGTGTCGCCAGCAACGCATTAATATCTCAGGTGCCTGAGTGCCACTCTGCCCGACACTATGGTACAAGGCTCTCCTTGCCAAGTGCTTCACTCAAGTGTGGATCAATCTACTCATTCAGAGTGTCAGGCTGTTGTAAACATTGCCGAGTCTCTTGTCTTGTGCTCCACCCTTCTCTCTGGCTTCTATTGTATTCGTCCATTGGTCATGGAATTTCAGTAAGTTTGCTATGTACAGTTTCCCCTTAAAACCGTGTTGGTTTTTCTTTATAAACTTATTTTAAATCTAAGCTTAGATATACTGTGACGCCATAGATGACTTGGATAATATATATATTATTTATATACGGAAAAACCACATATGAAAAATAGAGAATGATTAACGCGTTTTCGGCCAATTCGCCTTCATTAGAGCAAAGTAGAATGAAGCTTCATTCTACTTTAATAAACGTGTATGTATATATATATATATATATATATATATATATATATATATATATATATATATATATATATATATATATATATATATATATATATATGCCTAGAGGCGTACCCCTGGTGTATACACATGTGGGGCGACCCGGGCACCACAAGGGAGCATGTTTCCTCCTGTCTCAAATGATCGAACTACAATTTACCGTGACTAATTTTTTACTCCAGTGTGCGTGACCGGTGAGTGTGTGAGTGTGTATGTGAGAGAGAGACTCACACTCCGGGCGCTGCATGGCTGACAATTGTCTACTGACTTGTCTGCCCTTGACAGATGCCTGTAACATGCACGTATTGCCCTGGACGCCTGTATAAACACCATGAATACTTTACGACATAAAGTTTGAACATTAACGCACCAATAACCACCTGGCCGTCAATGTTGCCTTAGTAATGAACATAGTTTATAACCTGCAGAAACAACCATGAAGTCAGAAATATAAAGTCACTATGGAATATTTTAGTAATAACTGGTAAACAACACACTTAACACCTAGAGGCTAATTCATAACATATCTCCCACAACTACCAGGAAGTAACAGTTGTGACTGGTTTGAGCAGGTAGACAGCTGGCTCGTCCTCTCAGATACTACGTTGTAGTAGTAGTATCTACCTCTCAGATCACCTCTATCTACCCGTAATCTACCTCTCAGATTACCTCTATCTACCCGTAATCTACCTCTCAGATTACTACTACGTAAACAAAAAATGAAGCTGTGTTACCTAACTAGAAGCCTCACGTGCACGGCAGTTCTCCATAACTATTAAAACTGACAGTGATTAGCCTCACGAGGCGTCAGCATTGCCTGTGTGTCCCTCTGAAGGCATTCAACGTTTATTAATAAAACTTTCGAGACAGTAAACCTCCAGGAAATCTGGAAAAGGTAAAAGTACTGTAGTCACAATTTTCAGAAAAGGAGGCAGACAGCAGGCATTATAGACTAGGCTAACTGACAGGTGTTCTTGCATTATTCACAGCAATAGGTGCTGGAGAAAGTACTAAGTATGAAAATAATGGAGCACGTGGAGAGGACAGTCTTTGTAATGAACTGACAGCATAGATACTACCATAAATATTCCAGCAATTTATTGAAAATAAAAGTACCGCGATATTTCACGCTTCCTGCTGTGGGCTGCAGTTGTGATGCAGCCCGCAACAGTTGCTTAATTCCCGGTAACTAATTTACAGATGGATGGACGGTTCACAAACTATAGGAACCAGATAGTGCTAAACTGAAAGCTATTCGAGAATATTAGAAACGGGAGAGTAAGCTTGGGTGAGAGTAAGAGTGAGGGGAGGGAGGTCCGGTACAGGGTGAGGGGAGGGAGGTCCGGTACAGGGTGAGGGGAGGGAGGTCCGGTACAGGGTGAGGGGGAACAACTCGTGCATTATAAGAAGATATGACGGCTCGCGCCTCACTTCCGGTTGTCGTGTAGTGACGCGCCTGTCACTCTTTATCTTCTCCCCCACCCCCCCCTGTAGGTGTCCGTGTGTGTGTGTGTGTGTGTGTGTGTGTGTGTGTGTGTGTGTGTGTGTGTGTGTGTGTGTGTGTGTGTGTGTGTCTATAGGACAGAGAGATAAACAGAGGCAGAGAGAGTAACTATGAGAGACAAAATTAATCAAGGTAAAAGAGTACTGGAGGCAGCCATTACTCCCTCCCTCCCTGGAGGTCCGTCAACTGTACAATACAAGCAAGGCGGTGTGACGTCACAGGACGACAGGTGGAGCCCGCAGTTCACCTGTACACGGAGGGCCAGAGAGTACATGGACCATTATCAACCCGTATGTTCGGTCCGTCCTGGACCGACACGTCATCGTTCCTTCATCTTCTGGTGTGAAGTTAAGTCATCATATCATCAGCCCCGTCATTGTGACTCATCGTCTGCATATGATGATGCATACTCTGGTGCGTGACATTGTAGCCAGAGGTGCGTAAATCATTATAACGAGGTGCGATGATTAGTATATTTTGAGAGCCGTAAGTCAACAGGTCCGTAAGCATCCGAGCATCGCTCCTGTGCCAGGTAAGTCCTCTACGGGCTCACCATAGCCCGTGCTACTTGGAACTTGTTCAGAGTAGCTGAATCTATAACAACAACAACGTCAACAGGTGTGACACCTGCGGGAGGAGAAGCTTCCACAGGTGGGACTCCCGCTTCCTGCTCTTGATGTTCACATCCGGTCTGAGTCGATATCAGAAAGTCAACGAGGTCACTGATTACTGGAGCATGTCTCAATACTGTTGTGTGCTGGCTCGTATGGGGTCCACTGCCCCTCACAAGATGGGTATGGGGTCCATTACTCCTCACAGGATGGGTATGGGGTCCACTGCCCCACACAGGATGGGTATGGGGTCCACTACCCCTCACAGGATAGGTATGGGGTCCATTACCTCACAGCATGGGTATGGGGTCCACTACCCCTCACAGGATGGGTATGGGGTCCACTACCCCTCAGAGGATGGGTATGGGGTCCATTACCCCTCACAAGATGGGTATGGGGTCCACTACCCCTCACAGGATAGGTATGGGGTCCATTACCTCACAGCATGGGTATGGGGTCCACTACCCCTCACAGGATGGGTATGGGGTCCACTACCCCTCAGAGGATGGGTATGGGGTCCATTACCCCTCACAAGATGGGTATGGGGTCCACTACCCCTCACAGGATAGGTATGGGGTCCATTACCCCTCACAAGATGGGTATGGGGTCCATTACCCCTCACAAGATGGGTATGGGGTCCACTACCCCTCACAGGATGGGTATGGGGTCCACTACCCCCCTCATATGATCGTATGGGGTCCACTGCCCCTGACAGGATAGGTATGGGGTCCATTACCCCTCACAGGATAGGTATGAGGTCCAGTACCTCCTCACAAGATGGGTATGGGGTCCAATACCCCTCACAGGATGGGTATGGGGTCCACTGCCCCTCACATGATGGGTATGGGGTCCACTGCCCCTCACAGGATGGGTATGGGGTCCACTACCCCTCACAGGATAGGTATGGGGTCCAATACCCCTCACAGGATAGGTATGGGGTCCATTACCCCTCACAGGATAGGTATGGGGTCCACTACCCCTCACAGGATAGGTATAGGGTCCACTATCACTCACAGGATGGATATGAGGAACATAATTAATCACCTTAACCAAAATACAAAAGCAGATATAAAGAAAGAGTGAGAGAGGGAGAGGGAGGACTGATATAGAGGCACACGGGGTGAAACAAAGTTTTAAAACCGGCAGGATATAATCCTTGATAAGCTCGTGGAACACAGCCGCTCTTACATAAACATAATAATTATTATTGAGAAAATCCGTAAGAGCAGTGATGAGGGTTCGAATCTATACGGTGGATGTTCCCATGCACACGCTTCTAGCGACTAGACCACGACGTGGTGTAAGGATTGCAACCTGGAGTTCTACTGAACACAAGGATATTCTGAAGCTCGCACTCAGCCCCTCGTCAGCCCAAACAACCTTGGCACTCAACACTACTCCCGGTTAGGGAATTCTCCGTAAAGTATAACCAATTGCCGCACTACGGGCTCACCATAGCCCGTGCTACTTGGAACTTTTTGTTCCAGGTTGCGAATCTTAAACAACAACAACAACTACTCCCGGTTTGACGGAATGTTTGTCTGAGCGAGAGAATTAGCCTCCTCTTGTTTGATCTCCTCCTCCCAGAGATTCCTCACTCCGCCTTGGTTCAAAAGCCTTGTTTAGGATTGCTGTAACTAGATAAGTCTAATTCAGAATTAGCATAACTAGATAACAGTCTAATTCAGAATTAGCATAACTAGCTAACAGTCTCATTCAGGATTAGCGTAACTGAATAAGTCTGAATCAGAATTAGAGAAATCAGTAGCCTAGTTCAGGAGTGACATAACACTAGCTAAAAGCCTTGTCAGGATCAATGTATTTAGCTAACAACCTTGAAATAGAACATCCTCTGTAACTAGCTGACATTGTAGTTATAAGGTGTGAAGGATAGATGAAATTGTTTATGTAATAATCTAAGTTGAGGTCTGATAAAGACCTTTTGTGCCTTTTGTAATGCTAGCCGCTTCCGGCGACAACAATAAAAAAATCAAAAGCCTGGATTCGTAACCAAGCACAGCTTGTTTTAAGTAATTGCAAATACTTAGAAAATGATCAATTACTTTATTTTTAGAATTGTTTACAAATTTCAGTCTACAAATATTAACGTGTAACTTACTCTTTATATTATCAGGTATAAGTAATAGAAATAAAGCTAAACTATGACATTTTATTGTAAACACTCGTACTGTACAGTAACTGACATCTATATATATACATATATATATATATATATATATATATATATATATATATATATATATATATATATATATATATATATATATATATATATATATATATATATATATATATATATGTCGTACCTAGTAGCCAGAACGCACTTCTCAGCCTACTATGCAAGGCCCGATTTGCCTAATAAGCCAAGTTTTCCTGAATTAATATATTTTCTCTATTTTTTTTCTTATGAAATGATAAAGCTACCCATTTCATTATGTATGAGGTTAATTTTGTTGATTGGAGTTAATATTAACGTAGATATATGACCGAACCTAACCAACCCTACCTAACCTAACCTAACCTATCTTTATAGGTTAGGTTAGGTTAGGTAACCAAAAAAGTTAGGTTAGGTTAGGTTAGGTAGGTTAGGTAGTCGAAAAACAACTAATTCATGAAAACTTGGCTTATTAGGCAAATCGGGCCTTGCATAGTAGGCTGAGAAGTGCGTTCTGGCTACTAGGTACGACATATATATATATATATATATATATATATATATATATATATATATAATATATATATATATTTTGACCTAGACTATATTTTTCATATTAAAACTTCGTAGCAGAGAACGGAATTCCACCTTGTAGCTTCTGTTTATTTCTGCCTCCGTATTTGACACTTAACCAGACAATTTAGTATAAGATATAAAAATACTTTCACAGAAGAGGTTCTGAAGAAGGTATCCGTACTCTGACATTGACATTGAGTAGGATTACCAGCCCTTGTAGCTAGCACGATAGCCTTCTTAAGTGACTAAAGAGTTCCTACCTTTCTTTTTTTAACCATAGAATTACAGCCCTCTCAGAGCTAGAAAACAATAGGGCTCTCGGGCATCTAGAGAACGGAAGGATTTTAACCGAGCTGAGAACATCATCATCCTCCTCGGGTAGCTAGAACTCTCCAACGGTGGTCTCCAGGGCAAAGCTATTCTCCTTGGGCGGCCCCTGTGGACAGATGATGGTGTGAGGCGCCACACGTGCTTGGTCATGTATAAACCTCTCATAAAATTAAAGTATCTGTTGAGACTATTGATATATACAGACTATGGACTTATTGCACTCCAAAAATTTCTACATTTTGTACTATTGCATTTGAGGCGAGAGAGAATGCAGAAACACGCCTAACCAAACTTATTCTTGTGAGGTTTTGTTCGTTTTACTTGTATTTCATTTCATTTATATGACATTTTATTTTGTGGAACACCCATACATTTATTTCAACAGTGACCAATGTCAAATGTTATAAGGATGTGAGGACCGTCAGAGAGCATTCGAAGCCTAGTAGCAACAGGCGTGTAGGGGATATGCTAGCTAGCCCTACTGCGCATGCTGATATATTTATTAGTTCCTATTGTTAAACATCAAATTGAAGCAATCTTGTTTTCATTAAATTTTAGTCCTGAAATAATTCATGCATTTGTGTCGATTAAGACCATAGGAACATAGAAAGGAGCTCTGCACTAGGCCTTCTGGTCAACGCAAAGTAAGGTTCATGCAAGGCATTAGGCTCTCTAATCCATACACTGTGCCCAGTCTACACTTATAGTTGTATTTACTCGTTTATCTGTGTATGTTTATTATGGTGTTTGCTTCAGTTTATTTCACTCGTCTACCATTCTGTTGTCCTTGTATGCTATTTATATCTCAATTTGTCTAAATTATCGAATTCTATCATGACTTGATACTTAAATGTAACTGTTCCCCAGCCTCCAGTACTTAACAGTCTGGGGGACAGTTAACAGATCCACTACAGTTATTGAGGGTCTTGTTTACCTTAAACTGGTCCCTCTTTCCCCAGTCACCTGTATGTACCGTCACCTGTGTCACCTGCCTTACCTGTGTCACCTGCCTCACCTGTGTCACCTGCCTCACCTGTGTCACCTGCCTCACCTGTCTCTGCCGCTGCCCAGAGGAGCCACAGGCGACGGTCCTCCACAGGTGCTGACCTATGGCTTTGAGGGAGGTGAAGAACGAAACGTTGGCAAGGGCGTACATGGGGAGGAAGAGCAGGAGGTGGAGGCGGTGGACCAGGTGGCCCAAGTGGCCCACCACCACCAGCCAGGGCCCTGTATTCTCTTTTCTCAGGAACCGGAACATCAGCGGCAGCAACGCCTGCAACCACAAACTCTCTTAGTCCTTATGGAGTGTTGGTCACAAAATGTCTTGGATTACTTTGTCACAAAATGCTTATCCACAACATGGCCGCCGTGTCTTCCAGCGGTTAAGGGTGAAAAATCGTTATCTTCGCTCAAAAAACAGATATTATTAATAGGCGAATTTCGATATTATTAATAGGCGAATCAACTTTGAAATTGGCCTATATATGATAGAGCAAGAATAATTTATTGTTAAATTGGTCTTTCTGAAAACATTTTGTATCAATTTGTATATAAAAAAGGTTTTGTTGATTGCTCTTGTTTAACAATTATCGATTTTTTTATTATAATTTTTTCAGCTGATGTTGCTAATGATGTAGTACTTATTTTATAATTATGAATTGAATGGTTATTTCCGTTAACAAAATAACTATTGGCATCTGAGTTAATTTGTTGGAATAGGTGTTACGTGCCGGGATCCTAGTGGGTCAGGTGTCTATAACTCCAGACAAACACATTGGAGGTAGTCATTTTTGTTTTGTTACCATAGCAACGCAGTATTTACCATGATAAATGCAACACTAGATTTTCAGGTGTTGTCCTCTATATATAGTCTTACGAGAAGTGGCTGCGTTAACCGGACACTCTCCCTCTTGTCTTGGGGTGACAACCTCGCCGGAGGCCACTGGTGCAGACCACTTCTCGCTCCTGCTGGCAAGATGAGAGCTTCGCCCATCCTGTAGCAGCGTAGCTCATGGCGAGTCTTACCATGCAAGCATTCCCTGGATCACAACCTGCTAATCGGTTTACAATCGATCGTCGATTACCAGTGGGCGAAAAGGTAAGACTCGTACACCCTACAATAGGTAAGGTTCGTACACCCTCCAGCAAGGCAAAATGACAATGCATATGTTGCTAAGACGTTCTTTCCACATGGCTTTGTTAAGCGTGATTTTGGAGTGATACCCCATACATTGAAGTCCAGTTAAGTAATAGGTTGGGAAGGGATTATTAAATTTTCAACAAAGAGATCAATGAGAGTGGTGATGAAACAAAGTCCATTTTTGTTGACAGTAGAGAGGTGAGAGCCAGCAGCCAGCGTGCTTGCTCCATTACTCTCCTTCGTCTTTATATATAAAACACTAGAACACATCACATCTTTGCGTCCTCATTCACGTACCAAAACCATGATTTAACTGTGAAAAATTCTCGCTACTGCAGCAAGGACTAAAGGAATTTTATACAGGATACAAGACGCAGTCAGATCCTGTCATGGAACGGAAACATGTAAATGGTTAACGAATATTGTTGGCAGGTGGAGCTGGTTGGTGAGCAAACCAATTGTAGCATCACCACGGCCCTCTACACCGTGGAGGGTGAGAACCTTCTCAACACGCGAGACAAGGGAGGGGGCTACTGACGTGAGACAAGGGAGGGGGCTACTGATGTGAGACAAGGGAGGGGGCTACTGATGTGAGACAAGGGAGGGGGCTACTCATGTGAGACAAGGGAGGGGGCTACTCATGTGAGACAAGGGAGGGGGCTACTCACGTGAGGAAGGGAGAGGAGGATGTAAAACATGAAGACCTGTAGAGCAGACTTCGCAGTCTTGTGTCTGACCATCGCCTCCGTCATGTCTGCGTTACTGTCGTGTGGCTGGACGCGACTCTTCAGACGGAACTCCAGAGCCACTAGGATATAAAAGACGAAGGTGGTCAAGGCCCCGAAGACATACGCGACGCTGTATGCTATCAGGAACTCCTTGTCATTTCCGGGATTACACAGCGTCGAGAGTACGCTGGCGCAAGGCAGCACAAGCAGGACCAGGGGAAGCATCCAGCAGGCGACGCACAGCAGGCGACAACGCCGTATCGTCAGTATATTATAGTAGCGAAGTGGCCAGCATATTGCGACGTACCGATCCAGAGCCAAGCAGGTGAGAGTGAAGCAGGACACGGTGCTGAGGTACCGCTGCACCAGCTTCACCTGGCAGCCGGCCGGGGAGCTGTGGTGGACATCGGGATGGGCGATCAACACTATAGCGTACACGAAGGAGAGGGACGAGAATATTCCGATACTGACTATGAGAGAACTTAGGAACCAGGAAGAGAGTCTCTCCCTCAAGTCGTGGCTGAGGGCGGTGATGTATCCGGCCAAGACGCACTCAGCGAACGTCACGGCGCTGAAGAACGGGTACAAGTACAACAGGATATGGATGTTCGTGGTTCCTGTTGTGTTAACACCGTCCGTCAAGTTATGTGCCATAGTGTCACCGAGAGAGAGGTCAGGCAACTATAACCTGCACTCGCTTAACATCGCTTGGCTTCCGGTATGGCACTCTTATCGTTTCGGTAATATTCCATGTTACATATGCTTTATCCTCAAGGATTTATTCTTCTGGACTTTGTGGATAATAGAGGCAATAAACGTGCACTTCTCTGAACTGTGTCGCCGTGATGCACAGAGCGCCACACACCCGCCACGCCTTCAACATCACTGATAATTTATCTGACTTTGATAAAATCCACTTTACACCGTCATACGTTATAACGAAGAATATTAAGGTTGCTTGAAGAGGTTTATGAACGTCTTAGTTTTTCTATAGTACACTGTAGTAGCAGCAGGCCACCACTACTGCATGTGTCGACCAGTACACTGGTACAGAGTACATTGTAGTCGCACCAGACCACCACTACTGCATGTGTCGACCAGTACACTGGTACAGAGTACACTGTAGTCGCACCAGACCACCACTACTGCATGTGTCGACCAGTACACTGGTACAGAGTACATTGTAGTCGCACCAGACCACCACTACTACATGTGTCGACCAGTACACTGGTACAGAGTACACTGTAGTCGCACCAGACCACCACTACTGCATGTGTCGACCAGTACACTGGTACAGAGTACATTGTAGTCGCACCAGACCACCACTACTGCATGTGTCGACCAGTACACTGGTACAGAGTACACTGTAGTCGCACCAAACCACCACTACTACATGTGTCGACCAGTACACTGGTACAGAGTACACTGTAGTCGCACCAGACCACCACTACTGCATGTGTCGACCAGTACACTGGTACTCATTCAAGCCGGGAGTTGTCTCCTACTGGTCCAACGGATACATCTGGTATCCGGCCTGCTATCTGGCTGCACCTACGCATCTCTGGGGAATTTTATGCCTGTAAGATTGCCACGGCACTTCATTGGTGGCTTCTAAAAGTAGAAATTCCTTTTCATTCAATGAAAATGCAGTCTCGTCGACGGATGTAGAGAGTTGCGTGTGTCGAATTATATGTTAATACTGAGTGACGAAATGAAATAAAACATCCTTTTATTTACGATAAATGTTTCTATAAATAAGAAATATTATTAAACAATTGTTCGAAGGATTGTTTTAAGTTACAACAGCATTGCATAGAGTGTGAAGAATCATTAAATATAAAATATAGAGTTGCCTTAGTGTGAGTATGAGCGAAACGAGGTTGTGTGTGAGTCTGAATGCGGCTGAGAGCGAGGCTTTGTGAGCGTGTGAGAGTTTTTGCTTCATCCGCGATTCTGAAGAGGAAGCTGGCAGCTTTATCCTCATCTGTCCGGAAATGAAATAAAATGTTACATATTTCCTTTGTGACCTGGACGACCACCATCTCCTTGTTTGTGACCTGGTCGACCACCATCTTCTAGTTTGTGACCTGGACGACCACCATCTCCTAGTTTGTGACCTGGACGACCACCATCTCCTAGTTTGTGACCTGGTCGACCACCATCTAGTTTGTGACCTGGACGACCACCATCCTTTTAAGGTTTCCCAACGTCAAGAAAACTATCAATTTAAAGTGTCCTCTCCTAACCTATCAGAGGACCCAAAACAGAAAACGGGACAATACGTCACTTTTGCAAGCCGCTTCCATTTTCTAGTATGAGAGTTTTTGGTCTCATGTAACACTTACGATCGAAATTTTGCAGTCTCCGTGGTGTAGTGGTAAGACACTCGCCTGGCGTTCCGCGAGCGCTATGTCATGGGTTCATATCCTGGCCGGGGAGGATTTACTGGGCGCAATTCCTTAACTGTAGCCTCTGTTTAACTCAACAGTAAAATGTGTACTTGGATGAAAAAACGATTCTTCGCGGCAGGGGATCGTATTCCAGGGACCTGCCCGAAACGCTACGCGTACTAGTGGCTGTACAAGAATGTAACAACTCTTGTATATATCTCCCAAAAAAATGCAACGTTCTTTGTAAGCGGACAGGTTGCTGGGGCGATAATCATTTCCTGTTTTCTGACTAGGACGACAGCCATTATATTCTTGGCCTGTTTTTGTGACTTGGACGACGGCCACCTGCACGACATCGTCAACACCTGTTCCATATTCCCAGAAATATTTGTACCCAAGCGTGAGTACAAATATGTGTACTCAGGAACACATGTGATAATCCTTTCCCTTAAAACCAAGTCTAGTGCCCTTGAGGAGATACCAACTTTAATTTACAAAAAAGCCTCCAGATCTTTAGCCCCTGCTATTGCATTGCTCTTCAACAAGTCACTTGAACTCCAAACCTTTCCATGTGCACAGTGTCACTCCAAACATTTCTCCTTTTACCATAAGTGAAATGGGTGTTTTGACTCACACACCTGTAGTGTTGCAAGGTTTGGCTTCCCTCATACATTATACCTCTCCTCGCCACTTCTGCTTGTACCTCAATATTAATCATTTTACTTCTAATTCGTCTCATGGTTAAAAGTATTAGGTTTATAAGTATAAGTGTTAAGTTTTACGCAGACGAGGAGTCACAATAACGTGGCTGAAATATGTTGACCAGACCACACACTAGAAAGTGAAGGGACGACGTCGTTTCGGTCCGTCCTGGACCACAATCGACTTGAGAATGGTCCAGGACGGACCGAAATGTCGTCGTCCCTTTACTTTCTAGTGTGTGGTTTAAGTTTCAGTCTAAGTTTTTTTCACACCTTGCCCGAAACGCTGTGTGTATGAGTGGCTTCAGGGACTGTATGTACTGGCTCTATCTCCTAATCCGACATTATGTTTGTAACTCATTTTCAATATATGTATCTTTACCTGAATAAATATCTTATCTCTTAAAACACATTCCGTGTTAACTTGTAGTTTTGATGTGGCGCGTTTGGCCAGGTCATCCGCCACCTCCTTGAGCACTATTCCAACATGAGATGGAATATGTCAAATCTCTAGTCAAATTTCTCTTACTTTTAACTCAAATAAAAACAAAAACAAATCACAAATGATATAACAAAAAACTTTATCATCCCATAAGATAAAATATTTAAAAACTCAATATTTCAGAAAAACTCGATTTGTTAGGCAGCTCTGACTATTAGATACAACAGATGTATGGTCCCCAGGCGGGACCAAAGAGCCTAAGCTCCACTCCCGCAAGCACAACTAGGTGAGTACAGGCTTTTTGATAATAATAATAAATACAACAGTATATCCTTTCAGTATGTGACTGTTTTCTTTAAAAACAGTATTAATTATTATATTTATGGGAGACTATGGCAAAAGTAAACGACGGTCTTGCTCTCCAATTGTTGTATATGTGTGTGATGAGCTACGTCTCTTGAGTCCCGCCTCTAAACCTTTAGTTAATTAATATTTTAGACATAACGTGTAATGAAATTTTGTCATCTTTGATACGAATTGCTTTAATATACAGATAAAGGAATAAAATGTTAACTGCAAATCCTTCTCTCAGATAATAATTACGAAGCTTCATAACGCGACATAACTCACCAACTTATCTTGATCTAAACTTGTGTTAGTATCCGCGTGAAGCTCAAGGACATCAGTCTTCCCAAGACCCGTCGTTATTCGGCAAGACTTCTCTACAAAACCAGTAAAATGCTGTTTTCCTTTCACGCTCAGAATCGCATAAAAGCGCTTATCTTGCGAGGCCGTTAAGTACTCGCCTAATTGTGCTTGCGGGGGTTGAGCTTTGGCTCTTTGGTCCCGTCTCTCAACTATCAATCAACTGGTGTACAGATTCCTGAGCCTACTGGGCTCTATCATATCTACATTTGAAACTGTGTATGTAGTCAGCCTCCACCACATCACTGCCTAATGCATTCCATTTATTAACTACTCTAACACTGAAAAAAAAATTTCTAACGTCTCTGTGGTTCATCTGGGTACTAAGTTTCCACCTGTGTCCCCTTGTTCGTGTTCCACCCGTGCTGAAGATTTTGTCCAACATATTATTTCAGTTTCAAATCCAGTTGCAAAAAAATGCTCAAGAACAATGGGAGGGTCATTAACAACCTCCCGGCTTCCTGTCCCCATCAAGGCCACTAAAGATATACTTATTTTTATTGAAATTTTCGTATTATTTTGGAAAAATTAATGGGTTACATTATGAGTATGGTAAATTTATTAGTAATATAATAGATTGATTTAAGAACAAAAAACAGTGGTAAATCCAGCTTAATCTTCTGGAAGAATCTTGATAAGGGAAAACATTATATTATACATATTGATATACATGCTTTAATTGTGTACTATATAATAAAATTTGTAATCTTGTTTCATATAAAGTTAACATCGCAACACTGGCCGAGTTAAAGCATAACTAATTTCTTTTTGCTAAAAAAAATCCTTAATCTACAAAATATAAGAAAAATAAGAAGACAGAAAATATTCCTTTGCCATCAGCAGTGTACATGTTGTATAGAATTTACTTTCCAATTAAATTTTTAATTCATTTCAAATAAAATTACTTTGCTATAGTTAAATAAAACTTCAGGGTATAATACTTGATTATTAATTATCATAATTTAAACAATTTTAATTATTACCTGAATCGAAAAATGTATTTTGTTAATAAATGTTAAAGTATCGTCTTAAGAAGTGGAAATCATGATAAATTTATATCAATACCATTTGCTGAATTTTTTTTTTCCGATTCTCGATTAATCGTCCCATCACTAGTTCCCTCATGAATCATTTATTTCATTAACCTCTGGCAAACTATTCGAGTCAATAATTGCCTGATAATCGATCAACTCTGAAAATCGAATAGTTGGTTTCCGTATATGTACTTTAGGAATATGTTTTCTCTGGATGTGATGCTGTTTCGGCATCATCTTTTTCACCATTTTTAATTAGTATACCCATTTAAATTATTGCTTCCTCCACAAAAATCATTCACTGGGTACGTTTCATTCTTCCAGTTCTTCGGAGAGGCTTGGCTCCCTAACACAAACTTCCGGGAACCTTCCCGTGTGCCATCAGTTTCTTGCTTATATGAGAACAGAACCCTGCGGGACTCCGCTGGTGACATCACGCCAGTTTGATGTCTCCCCCTCCCCCCCCTTATAGTAACTCTCTGCTTCCTGGTACTTCCTCATTCTTCCTGGTACTTCCTCATTCTTCCAGGTACTTCCTCATTCATTGGAGCACCTTATCAGTTACTCCAGCCCGTTTTTACAACTTACGCAACAGTCTTATAGGGGACTTTGTCAAAAGCTTTCTGACAGTCCAAGAAAATACAGTCCGCCCATCCTTCTCTTTCTTGCTTAATGCTTGTTGCTTGGTCATAGAATTCTATTAAATCTGTGAGACACAATTTGCCATCTGTGAACCCATGTTGGTGGTTTGTTACAAAGTCCCTTCTCTCCAGATTTGCTACCAGCCTGTTTCTCACACTTCATCATCTTGCATGGCATACAAGTTAAGGACACCGGGCTGAAGTTTAGGGACTTCTGCTTATCACCCTTTTTGAATATTGAGACTAGGTTAGCTGTCGTCCAACTTTCTGGTAGGTCTCCTGTTTCCTGAGATTTGTTATACACCATCGAGTGCATGCAAAGTGTTTCTGCCCTCTTTGTTTTAGCATCCATGATGAGAGTCCATCAGGTCCAACAGCCTTAGTCATGTCTAGATCTAGATGACACCTCCTAATTTCATCTTTGATAATTTCAATATCTGCCAAGGCTGCTTGGTGTATCGCCACCCTCTTAGTTCAGGGACTTCTCCTTGCTCTCTTGTGAAGACCTCCTGGAATCTCTTGTTCTTCACACACCTCTTTGTCATTCTCTGTGTACCCATCTTCTTCCTTTCTCAATTTCATCACTTGTTCTTTCACTGATGTTTTCCTTCTGATGTAGTTGTATAGCAGTTTTGTTTAGGTCTTGGATATATTTGCTGTCATTTTCAAACTGCCTCTTTGTTTTCTTCGCACACCGACGTGTGTGTGTGTGCGTTTGTGTGTGGGTGTGTGGGTGTGTGTGTGTGTGCGTTTGTGTGTGTGTGTGTGTGTGTGTGTGTGTGTGTGTGTGTGTGTGTGTGTGTGTGTGTGTGTGTGTGTGTGTGTGTGTGTGTGTGTGTGTGTGTGCTCACTTGGTTGTACTCACCTAGTTGTGCTTGCGGGGGTTGAGCTTTGGCTCTTTGGTCCCGTTTCTCAACTGTCTGTCAACTGGTTCTTAACTGTCAATCAACTGGTTGTGTGTGTGTGTGCGCGCGTGCGTGCGTTCGTGTGAGCGAGCGTGTGCCCCCAACATGGCGGAAATGCTGTTGGTGAGATCAGGTGTTAACTCACACTCTTAATTACGCTATTTACCGTGAACTGGCCAGGTCTCGTTCACAATTATACTCTCACTCTTAACTCTGGTTCATATACGATCCTTGTATTTATTCACGGTAAACTATTCACTTTGCAAATTATCTAAATGATTTGCAAGAAGCCTTCCCCATGATGTAAGATGGTGGCACCCCATGGTGGCGCCTCTAATGGGTAGTTATTACTACAGTTTCCTCTTTTGGAAAACTCCCAAATTAAGGTGTAAATATTGGTAATTATTCGTTAATTATACACAACCAAACTGGCACTTCCCGAATTCACCCTCGGACACTGACCTAATCCAGTCAGGGGTATAAAAGTCAGGAATATTGCTCACTCTCTCACTCTTGCCACCACTACCAGGACGTCAGCACCACCACTGCTACCACCACCACCACTGCCACCTCTACCACTACCACTTCCACCACTAACCACTACCATCTCCACCACCACCACCACCACCACCACTACCAGAGACCTGACAAATATCTTGATCAATCCCACGTAAGTATTAAAGTTAAATATCTTGATGTCCCTCGCCTGGGTGAGGAAGACTGTTGCACTCACCCACACCTCCTCAAGGCCTTGACTAACACCTGGTTTCCGTGCTATACCAAAATTATTTCATGATGTAGGAAATCAAATTATTAAAAGTCAGTTATTAGAGTATGCAAATAACAATAAATTCCGAGGTTCTCAGATGCCAACTGACAGTTTAATGGGAACTGGAAAGTTAAGTATAATATTAGTATTATCAGGTAATTTAATGGACTTCCCTGGAGACGGTATCCACTCATGAAAGTGTATATCAGGCAGGACGCGAAAGATGTTTGGCTGTGTTGGCATGGTGCTGGCAGCAGCCGCCGCAGCGGTCGTGGTGGCTGACGTGAGGTCCGGCCACCACTTCAGGGAGGACAAGCCTACTCCTCAAGGTACCGGCAAACATATTTATTAATCCTGCGAGTGTTCAACTCTGGGTTAATGTTTGTTTTAAGGTCTATCAACCTGTGATAGGTTATTCTGACCAGCCAGCAATATACTTTAGTATTGAACAACCCAGGACTAAAGTATACTATTAGCAAAGTACACCTCTCAATATATGTATAAAAGTTATGCGTAATTCTAAAACTATTTAAATTTATTTTGATTTTTATAAGTTTCTTTTTTTCCAAATGACAATTAAAAATATGCAATATAAGGAAATAAGTATTAGAAAATCATATTTCCTTGGATAGACATAATTTCGTGTTAATTAAGTTATGATATTGATGGAAGATCACATCACGATACATATAGGCTTCAGGGCACAGACGCCTAACATGATACCTTAACCAGTGTCCACAGTGGTCAGAGCATTGTGGGAACTCTTGCATGTGTGCGAGGAAAGCTGTGAATAGGAAAAAAATTAAGCTGTGAATGATTGTTACTATAAGAGCTGCCTGACAAAGGTCGCTAGGCACCTTCTCCTGTATTACTGTTATGTCCAGCTCAGCGTCTCGCCTCTCCACAGACCTTCCGCGGCTGGCGTCTCTGGGACACAAAGTCAGCCCCTTTTGGTTCACCATCGGCAAGTGGGTATATTTGTATGTTATTGTTATGTTCTTGTACCCGAGTGGCCATAAGGCCATTCTGGTGCGTCCCTGTGTACTCTTAGAGAGATGGATGAAGGAATCACACTAATGCAACCAACTCTTTGTACATCAAGATGTTTTATCTGATATCCACATAACTAAACCTGAAGACATAACGCTCCTAAGAGCTCCTCCTTGGGTGAATGCTATCGACGAGGTCCTTGGTAAAACTATTATTGTTCTGAAGAGGGTGGATGGGAAGATTGATTGAGAACATTGATGCTCACAAGGCACTTTACCTCCTCACCTGATACTTGTCTCTCCTCAAGTTCACCTACATTTTTATAAGTTCAACATCTCATGATAGCTAGGTGAAGAGGACCACTTACTGATATCCGTGTTAGAAAATTCCTAATTATTTCTCTCAATAACCTACCATGAAAACAAGCCACCTATCTTATCAGAGTCGAGGGCCTCGTTATTCGCACAGCCAACCACATAACTGTACCAGCCTTCCTGTTCTCCTCTCCAACATCTAACAGTCTAGTGAAGGAAATCATACCGGATTACTTAGGTAACTTAGCGGGGATTTACGATCCCAGTTTTACACTTTGCACAACTAAGTTGGCTTCTATCGCAGCCTCAACTCTCCAACCACCTCCATCTAAAGTCCACAAGCAGTCCAGATTGGACACCCCCATCATAGACACTGCATCAAGACAGTGTCTCGATGCTGCACCATCATCATGTGAGATTGCGTGCCAATAGTGGTGGCAGCTCCCCATGTGGGTGACTTCCTATTAGCGACCCCTTCCCCATGTCAGCAATAGGCACGCATTTCAGACTGCAGGTCCATCGGATTGCGATGAGTCTCTGCCTTGCTGTCTGTTGTTGTTGTTGTTGGTTTAGATAGCTACTTGGAACGAATAGTTCCAAGTTGTACGGGCTATGTTGGGCCCGTAAGTGGAGGCTCCTTAGAGCCATTATTTGTATCAATAGCTGATACTAGAGAACTGGGGATGGATCGGGCTGTTCATAGTGGATTTCAGCCCCAGAGGGCTGGCTGTACCAGTTATAAAGCTGGTGGATAAGTGCAGACATGTAGGTTTTCCGTTTTTCTTTGCTTGAGACATCCCTTGCTGCCCTTGTCCACAAACACCTAAATTAGGTGTGTAGAAAGGCAGCCTTTCTGCCCTTGTCTACACCGAATATAGGTGTATTTGCAGGGAGGTGAAGGCTGACAGGTGCAGTCAGCATAGATTGCTCTGCCAATGCACATGGAGTTAGTATTGTTCAGAAGAGAGAGAGAAATCCCGCTACCTAATGTCCAGCAACTCTGCCAATTCTGTGGATCTCAGACAGGATCACAGTGCACTCCTAATAGAACGGTAGGCAGTTGATGTGGGACTACACATGTGTACAGGCTTGGCTAATACTAATACCAACATAGACTTCAGCATTGCACATCCAGGCCATACTGCTGATTCCACAGGGAATCAGCCAAGTCCTGTAAATACAGGCTGGATCATCATCTTGTCCCCCATTGCTTCAGAGATCCCATGGTGCCTTAGGTAAGAATCCCACTAATTTGAAGGATCTGGGTTCTAGGCCCATCGAAACTATTAAAGATCCAAAAGCTGCCAGTTGTTTTTCCAGCACCTCAGCATGGAAATACAGAGGATAAAGGCAGGAACCATGAATGCAGAGTGCAAAAACCTGAGGAGCTTTACGAAGTCGACAGTCTATGACAATCAACTTTGGACCTTCTGTGTAACCAATGTTGTAACCCAACTCTTGTAATAAGTTTTAAATAAAAAATAAAAAGATATGGTTGATGAGGACAAGATGCAAGTGCCCGTGGAGCCTCACGAGGCTTCCCAGGGTGCTGCATACTCTCTTCTCTAAGGCTCCCAACAAACACAATCAAGTGTAGTACCAAAAGTAAAAAATGTAATATATATAAATATATAAAATATAATTTACTACACATTATATTACTATTATGTGTATTAATACTGTTCCTGATTAAACAAATAATGTATTTGACACCTGATTTCATGCAGAAGTGCCTACTGAAATATATATATTATTATTTTTTTCTCGCAAAAACGTTTACTTATCATACTTTTTCTTGCTGCGGTGATGGTGCCATACTTAAGGAGCGCCGTTAAGCAGATCAACAAGAAAGATGTGTCGGTCCCGGCCACTGAGCAAGTCGCTCGCCAAGACGGATTTGGAATTCCTGTCGTACCCCCTTTATCTCTCCTTAATGATCATGACCTTAACACAATAGAGAAACATCACGACCAAGTGATTGATAACAGCCGTTGGTACGAGGAGGAAGCCCCGGAGGATAAGGAGGAAGCCCCAGGGTACGAGGAGGAAGCCTGGCGGCCACCCATCAGAGACCGTGAGTTGAAGGTTACTCAGAAACTGCGGAGTTCTGCAAAATCTGTTTTATTTTTATCCAGTTACTTCGTGTTTACTGCCACATTTGTTAACTTGTATGTCTGAAACATCTTCCCTCTTAACACCCCATGACACCCCTAGCTACACCCACATGATACAGGTACACCCACATGACACAGGTACACCCACGTGACACAGGTATACTTACATATGAAAGGTACACTTATGTTAGGCATTTAGGTTCTGTTGGCAATAATTCTCGGTAAAGCAGCAGCCGAACCCCCCCCCCCCCCCAAGACGCATTAATGAATTTTAACATATTGTACAAACAAAAGATTGGTTTTATCACATATAAATTAATATTGGTATATATTAGAGTTCTATGTATTGTTAGGCATATGTCTGTTTAGGTTTGGTGTTAGAAGTTTGTTCTCAATTATTTGCATTTGAATTTGTGACTCGAACAGAGGACGTCAGCAAAACACTGTTCGAGAAATGTTCATTGGCACATGAAATGGTTGGCATCTAGCTCTTCCTTTGCCAGAGGTCACTTAAAGACGCTGCTGCGTTTTTGCTCGACTAGGCTTGAAATTAGGAGAGGCCTATGTGATTCTGTTGTTCGGCCGCAATTTTCATCAACTACCCAGAGTTCACAAGACGCCTGACATCTTATCCTCTGGGATCACAGTGTTGAGTCTTCCAGTTGATTCCTGTGAGGTGTAGAGGTCCGGTGCTTGCCTCCCAGTAGCAGGTACTTAACACCAAGTACCTTCCTAGAAGTGTGTTACATGCCGCCAGGTACAGTTGTTTCCCACCGACAGGCGAGGCGCAGCACAAGGCTTTGTGTTTCCCTCTACACTTGAACGCCGGGTAACATCCGACACTAGCACTGTCGTTTCCCATAAAAGAGCAAAAACAGCAACCAGCCGCCAAACTCCTGTTTATGAATAGGTGCAAATCATGCATATTGCTTTAATTTCGTTAAACCTTTTTTGATTCAGTACTTCGGTTCAGATCGCACTGATCTAAATGCTTCACCCACATATTGTAAATACAATTACCAACGGAACCAAAACAACCTATCCTAGGCCAAACAATACACAAAACTATGATATCCAAAACTATATTTCTTAGATAATATATAACACAGTGCGTCGAAATTGACAAATGCGTCTGTGAGGTCAGCAGGAGGTAGGAGGAGCACAGCCGGGGCCGGGTTGGCGCCGTCAGCCTGGTCCTCTGGCGGTGGTCGGCCTCAGGCACACTTCACTCTACTTACCCAACGGCGTGATGAAAGGCCGCATTTTCTCAAATATTATTATATATTATAGATTTTTGTTTAGTTATATATAAAGTAGGTTAGCGTAGGTGTTTTCGTTCTGTTAGCAATTATTTGTGTTATAGACTGTATAGAGGAAAGAACTTTCCGAAAAACAATGCTCGCTAGGCAGGTGGTCCGGGAGCTGGAACACAACACAGCTTACAAACAGACGCAGCCATGGCGTGTCCCTCCACTGCATGAATAATACACTTGATTTATTAACTTTCTATGTAAGTACATACATATGTGTTTCTGTGCAACAGCGATGTACGAGCCACAGACAAACTTGGAAATCTCCTCCGTTAACAGCAACAGGATCGTCAACGGGGAACTGGCAGTCAAAAATGAGTTTCCTTGGATGGTAAGTTATGCTGTTTTTTAATTAAGATATCATCCGTTCAAAATAGTCCTCCTATTAGTTGCGATTTTATTCTGTTATTATTAATTCTGTTGTTATTAGTTCTGTGATACAAATTCTTGTACATATAAATTATAATCCACACTTCCGTGGAATATTCTTGTACTTATATAACTAAATGTCCCTTAAGCTCATGTTACTAGTTTCTCACATAATATGAAATAATATTTATTATTCGTTAATGAACGTAAATTGTGATGACGGCCTCCACGTATGTCATCTGCTGGTGTAGTGGGAGCTGCGCGTGTCTCCTGAGCGCTACACTACTTCCAGTCTTTCTCTGATTTAATGTTATTTCTATCATCATATTACCTTACAGCTCACAGGATCCGCATCCCGTGAGGAGCTTATGTGTACGTAACGTCCTGCCAGGATGTTCTTACTGGAGGTGATAGAAGATAGTATATAAATGCATATGCGGGGCCTCATACGGCTTCCCTGAGTGCCGTATAGTCTCATCTCAGAGGTGAAAGGTCCTCCCACTAATATAACTTAAGCGATACCCCTCTGTATGATTATATATATTTGTGGTTGGATTTGTGAAGACCCTTAGTTTCAGAAAAGAGAAAAGGCAGTCATAGAAGACCTTGCGGTGTCTCCGTCAAAGTTTAAGAACCCTCCCCATAAATATTTCTCTAACCCAATATTGGTCTCCTGTGTGTTCCCAGAGCTACATTCTCTCTCCCATATTATAACACTTTAACAAGTGTTCACATTTTTATTTGTTTATATCTAGGTTTATGTATTAATTTCGTCTTTTTTCTTGTGTTTTGTGTGTGGGTGCAGGCATTTCTGTACATACAGTGGAGCGACAAGTTGAAGCGGATGTGTGGAGGGAGCCTCATCTTCTCCGACTGGGTGATCACTGCTGCTCACTGTGTCCTCAGGTCACTCTACGTGTCTTGTATCCTCTCACTAACGCACAACACAACAGATATATGCTTATATATACAGGTGTATATACCCAGCTTCTCGGTGTATATACACTGAGAGGTATACCCAGCTTTTCGGTGTATATAGGGACAGTGTACTTCCGTCACAAATGTATTTGACTCTGTCCACGGTATTTTCCTACTCTACACAACTTTTCTTGGATATTTTCCTTAGCACTTGTTCACCCTAATAGCAGTGAGTCTCTCTGTGGATCTATAGTGACTCACTGACGCTCTCTCTACCTCTGTACTGACTCACTGACGCTCTCTCTACCTCTGTACTGACTCACTGAGGCAATCTCTTCCTCTGCACCAAATCACACAATAATATCTTAGTGCACAATTTTATCGCTAAGGATTGGTAAGTTTCTTACCTCCAGAATGTCTCCCAGTTCGTTCTCCCTGTAAATCTATTTTAGAAAGTTTTTGATTTTGCGGTGTGTCCCTCTTTAGTGGGACAGAACCTTAGCTGTTCCTTCGTACATTTTGCCTTATCTTGGCTTTCATCTTCACCAGGTAGTCAGAAATTAGGAGAGAGAGCTGGTCCCTAGCGGGCTCCCGTACTTCACCGTCTAAACTCAGCTTGTGTTCTGGGTAAAGCTTCTATCTAACATCCAGGCGTGACGGAGACTTTTGAGCACGTTTTCTTAAACCTGATTCCTCCGTTCACCTAGCAGTAAATAGGTGCCTGTGAGTTAGGCAACTGTTGTGGGGATTGCATCTTGGGGAAGGTCAGTGGTTAGCTTAGGGGGACCTCATTAACGTAATAGGCATAAACCGAGGATGAGAAATTATCTGCTGTGTTCCACTCTTTGTCTCTGTGGTTAATGTCAGCAGTGATTCTGAGCTTCCGGTGTGACCTGCCGGCCATCTTGGCTGCCCCTTATTGTGTACCTCAGTAAGCTGTTAACAGCGATGATCCTGCCTGGGTCTTGTGCCCAGTACACCTCACCACAGTACCTTGCCTAGAACACCTCACCAGTACCACAGTCTTCCCTGTCTGCTATATTCAGAGGCTCGTGTATACAGTTGCCACGGGAGACATCTCCCGTCACGCAGGGTGTAGTCGCACCTCCACAGATCTCTAGTATCAGCTCTTGATACTGGTAATGGCTCAAAAGGGCCACCACTTTCGGGCTATTCATGCCCGTGCCACCTTTTGGGTGGCTTAATCTTCATCAATCAATCAATCTATACAGTTGCTTCTTCAGTGTGTATACTCACCAAGTTGTACTCACCTAGTTGTACTCACCCTAGTTGAGTTTACAGGACGGAAGATCTACACTTAAGCCCCACTTTTCGAGCATCACTGGTTCAATGCAGTGACACTTTTCGCTCGTGTTTCTTATCATATTTACTTTTGAAGTTGTGTATTGAATTGGCTTCGACAACTTGTTAGTCTAGTCCGGTCCACTTCTTTACGGCTCTTAGACTGACAAAGTTCTTCCTGACATTCCTGCGACTCGTCTGTGTTTGTAGTCATGTTCTCTCGTTCCACTCTTCCTTAGTTTGAACATTGCGTCAATATCTACTTTGTCAATCCCACTTGGTATCTTCAACCTCATTATCATGCCGGTCATATTCCTTCTTTCCTGTGTGGACTTACCTTGTGTGATACCTGCATGGTGGGTGTGTGTGTGTGTGTGTGTGTGTGTGTGTGTGTGTGTGGGTGTGCTAACCTGCCCCATCTCTCCCCGGACAGGTTCAACGACACCAACAGCCTGTGGACACCGCTGGTGCAGGTCAACCTGGGAACCACTCAGCGTAATGTGACGGCTCCTGTCTCCGTCATGGCTACCAGGATCGTTATCTACCCGACCTACAGTTTGGACAACGATCTTGCCCTCATCAAGTTGGTGTCTCTGTCTGTCTGTCTCTCTCTCTCTCTCTCTGTTATTTACTAATCTTTCCTCAATGGGAATAAATGTCTTCCTGTAAGTCTGAGTTCGACTTTACTGAGTTAAGTAGTAAGGACGGCCTCTAGCCTCTCCTACGTCCACTACACAAATGATATATTTATTTATACATTTGTTGTACTTGCATTTTATTTATTTATTTTCTGAATTTTGAGTTTAGATTTATTTTAAAATATTTGTAAAAGTATGTCGTTTTTTAACAATTTTCAATGATCTTAACATAAATAATTTTATTTGCACATTATGTTAATTATTATGTAATTGTCTCACAACAGCACAACAAATTACAATCAAAACTTCCTTTTTTTTGGTAAAATGAGATTGGTGATTAGTTCTTAACATTGATGGAGTAAAACGGACATTATGTACTTACAACGGTACACGAGAGCAGTAACGGACGGTCCGTGGGGTCTCCCGCAGGTTGCCGAAGCCTTTGAACGTGACGACACAGGTCCGGCCGGTGCTTCTCCCGCTCCGGAACTCCCTGGGGAGCAGTGTGAACGGTCTAGCCCTCAGCGTCGCCGGCTGGGGCAGGACCGAGGAAGGTGTGTGTACTCGCCTATTAAAGGAATATTTAGGTGTTCATCTAATTGTGTGTGTGGGGGTTGAGCTTTGCTCTTTCGGCCCGCCTCTCAACTGTCAATCAACTGTTTACTAACTACATTTTTTTCCTCTCTCCACACCACACACACACCCCAGGAAGCAGCCCGTAACAGCTAACTAACTCCCAGGTACCTATTTACTGCTAGGTAACAGGGGCATTCAGAGTGAAAGAAACTTTGCCCATTTGTTTCTGCCTCGTGCGGGAATCGAACACGCGCAACAGAATTACGAGTCCTGCGCGCTATCCATCAGGCTAGGAGGGCCCTACAGGGTGTGTGTGTGTGTGTGTGTGTGTGTGTGTGTGTGTGTGTGTGTGTGTGTGTGAGTGTGTGTGTGCGCGTGTACGCAATTACTGATCTCAGCATCCCACGAACCACATGACAAAATCCGTCCTGTCCCCTTGACACATATGTGTCAGAAGACTCCCTTCCTGACACATGTTTCAGAAGTTTCCTTCCGTGACACACATACACACATATGTCTTTGAAGCCTCCCTCCTGACACATGTGTCCCACCAGGGGTGCTGAGCAATGACCTGAGGAAGCTGGATGATCGTGTGGGCATGGACCCGGGGTCCTGCAGACTGGTCTTCGGTCCAATTATCACCGCCCACCACTTCTGTACCACCAGTCCCAACGTCAAGCACATCTGTATGGTACGTGTACGGCTCTCTGCTCGGTATGACAGTGGGTGTCTCTCTCCCTGTATGGTACGTAAAGGACTATCTGGACCAGAACTCGTCAAGCATTTTCCATTTACGAAACCTGTACATCTTTCGTAAGTCATAGCGACTTTGTTTACAGTCATCAAGCAGTTTAAGAGCTTTGGAACTCCTCCGCCCAAGCTGATCTTTGTCATAAACAGCTTCTAGTGCATCGGACCTGGTAAACTATTTTGTAAATGTAAACAATGCTGCCAAGTTTGAGGAAAGATGTACAGGTATCGTAAGTGGTTTCATAAGTGCACGTTGAATCCTGACTGGTGGTTTCAATTAAGGGGTAATTGAAGGGGTTCTCTGGTTGCAGGGTAGATTTATCTGGTAGATGAAGCGATTCCAGGATCTCTTAAGTACTCACGTAACTTTACAGCTCCAAATTACGATCTCTGGATCTCTTGTGGTTCCATCATGGCGCCGTAGTCGGTATTTATTAAATAGTTAACGATCTCCGAGGCTACGAAATCGTCGTGAGCTGAGTGCAGCCTAACATCAACGTTGAATCATCGTCACATCAACGTCGGGGGGGGGGGGGGGGGGGGTGACAGGACACATCGCTGTGATTTCACGATACTCATCTTGGGGTAGATGTGATCCATTCATCACGCAACACGCATTTATCTGGAGATGAGAGGCAAGATAAATTAACATTGGGTCCATCTAACAAGTCCGGCTGGCGTGAGGCTAACTCCAGTAGCCTCGGAGAGTATTGTCATAAAGACAAATGGTTGGACTACCCAGACTATCTGACTTCTTTATGTGAAGCAATATCACCCTCGTGAGTGATTATTGGTGCCCCAAGATGCACAGAAACCATTAACAAGAACTGAAGCTTCCAACATGCTACAGAGAATCATACAAGTCAACACGACTTTTTGCATTTAAGTCAGGAGAGGCCGGACATCGCCAGCATTGTTCAGAGATCAATTATTTTGTGCAGTTAACACTGGCTTGAGTGGTGATAACACACCAAGTTTACGGGCTCACCATAGCCCGTGTTACTTGGAACTTTTTGTTCTATTCAAAAAACTCATCCTCTTAGACCTAAGATAATTCCATACTTTTCCTCTCAAGTTTAAGATAATCCCATACTGTTGTGGTGTCCGGCAGGGGGACTCCGGAGGACCTGTGATGGCTGGGAACGGGTCCCAGAGGGTGCTGCAGGGAGTGGTCAGCTTCGTCGCCACCGCCAACTGTACCGGGACCTACCCTGATGGGCACACCGCCGTCGTCTACTTTCTTAACTGGATCCAGAACGTCACTGGAAAAGTAATTAGTTAAGAGTTCTCTTTGGAGCTCCATGGAACACTGCGTCATCCCCTGGTAGACTGCGTCATCTTCTGGTAGACTGCGTCATCCCTTGGTAGACTGCGTCATCTTCTGGTAGACTGTGTCATCCTCAGATCCGTTCTAAGAGCTATTTACCAAAAAGTGGCTTAAATAATTAGAACTTCATTCGTTCCGTCCTGTGTTCCAAGACCACATATCGACAGCCTACCAAGTTCAAGTATGTTTATTGAGATAAGCAAGAAATACATCTCAAAGGGATAGAGTAGCTTAGGCTATTTCTACCCCCCCCCCCCCCCCCCAACAGCCTACCAAATGGGGTCCAAAGGTTCTTCAGCCTCCTGGCACACGTTGGGACCAGATAACATCACAATGTTCAGGAGACCAACACTGTGTCAATGAGACCACCAGGTTTTCCAAAGGTAACCCTTCAGGAAGGTCACCTAGTTCTCCCAGTAGTAGATCAAGTGAGCTTCCAGAGACGTAACACAAGACCTTAGTGAGTTATGTTACAAGATTCTGTCACCGTCCGCATGACCTTTACTTACTCCCTTATATGTCACGTCCTGGATGATGTCATGTCACGTGCTGGATGATGTCATGTCACGGGCATTGAAGTTATGTAAATGATCTTTAATTTGTAATCTATATTTAGTACGCATTTTCCTTCCACAACATTGTGTAGTCTAAAATTAGCACCTGTATTTTGCTCTTATTATTAAATTACTGCATTGAGCATTTGGTTTTACTAACTTTACCAAGAGTAAAACAAAAATCGAATGAAACACTGCATGTAGATAAATGGATGTACTCACCTAGTTGTGCTTACGGGGGGTAGAGCTTTGGCTCAACTGTCAATTAACGGGTGTAAAGATTCTTGAGCCTATTGTGCTCTATGAAAACTATATTAGAAACTGTGTATGGAGTCTGCTTCCACCACTTCACTTCTTAGTGCATTTCATGTGTGTGTGTGTTTGTACTCACCTATTTTTGCCTGTAGTGTCGAGCATTAGCTCTTGGACTCCGCCTTTCTACAGTTAAGCTATTTCCACTCTGGCACTTCCCCTTTATGTGTTTACATTATCGTAAAGTTCCAGAAGATCTGTTAGACATGATTTCCCTTCTCTGGGCCCAAGTTGGTGTTTGTTTACATACTGTACCTAGTTCTCTGTGTGTGTGACTAGTCTTAACTTTATGTATATGCAGCTCATCCTCCTTTTTAGGTAGTGCTTATAGTAACGACGAGGACCAGCATGCATACATTAACGTAAAACACAATTAGAAAATAGAAATCGGTTCTACTGAATTTGCACAACCGGAAAAGTTTGAACTTATGTTGCAAAGAAAGCCTAACCTAACCTTCCTAAGCCTAATAAACGCTATCTGAGGCCTCATATAGTACATATATGTGCTATACTACGCCTAGGAATATTTAAGTTTGGTTTTTACCATTATTTTTCCGGACTATAAAATGAATAGTACAAAATTCTGCTATTTAATTGTCCATTACGTCAATATGTATGTACGATGGTCCACAGGTTACAAAAGTACCGTCTAAGCAGGAGGTTGAGTTGATACAATTATTTATTTATATACAAGACGGTACATTGGGTTAGAGAGAATATATAGCATAGTAAAGCCACTAGTACGCGCAGCGTTTCGGGCAGTCTGCGTGTACTACATGTGTCTGCGTGTGAGTGTATGTGTTGCTGGGGACGTCTTTGGGGACCAGAGGTTAATATAGCACTTACCTAGCGCCTGACAGCTGGGTGGACAGCGCCTCGGATTCGTAGTCCTGAGGTACCGGGTTCGAACCCCGGTGGAGGCGGAGACACAAATGGGCAAAATGTGTCTTTCACCCCTGATGCCCCTGTTACCTAGCAGTAAATAGGTACCCTGGGAGTTAGACAGCTGCTACGAGCTGCTTCGTGGGGAGTGTGTAACAAAAAAAGAGGCCTGGTCGTGGACCGGGCCGCCGGGACGCTAAGCCCCGAAATCATCTCAAGATAACCTCAAGATAGATAACATAACCTCAGTCCCTGCGGCTTGTCCCGTCACTTGAGGGACTCCAGCACCCCGCCTCAACAATAACACTTATCATCTATGTAATGCGATGTATAGGTACTTATCAGTCTTTTACATAAGAAGAACTTCACTTTTCTCTCGTGATGTAATCAATAGTCTCAGTAATCTTTGGCTCTAATCATCATCTACATGATTGCTCCAAGTAGATTAATATTATATGAATAATTCCGTTATTATCACATTATATATATATATATATATATATATATATATATATATATATATATATATATATATATATAATATATATTGTGACGGGAAAGTGTTGGAGTGTAGATGTTCGGCAGTCCTCCAATGGCAGGTGTCAATGCCTGGTCACACATATAAAAAAAAGATAGACTGCTTGCCTGTTGTCTGTGGTAAGTGAGAGGGAGGAACACGTAAAACACAAAGTATGAACAATGAAACTTTAATATATTTACTTTAAACATAAATGAAAATAAAGACAAATCTCGGGGGAATGAAAAGTACAATTAAATAACAAAGATAAATGCAAAGACAATGTGAGACAATATTATAATGGTGAAATAATAAAATGGTGCTGAGAATATCGGCTATGGCTGAGACCTCCCTTCGTATACAAGCCAATAAGCTTAGTATGCCAGAGAGAGATGTCAACTCTAAGAGCACAAAGAATATTCTGAAGTTGATAGCTGGTCAGGGCTCCGACGTCGATTCAGGTAGATGACGCGGAGGTGCAGTGTGCAGGTGCGCGGTCGGCGAGTCACCAATCAGGAGCAGGCAGGCTGGTATGGGTAGTTTGCTGGTTTGACGACAAGCCGGCGTGGAGTAGGGGGGATCTTGGGTACGTTTTGCCTCCTGGTCAAAACGTTTTGTGCTACCGGTGACGTATCTTGAATGTAGCATCTTATACTTGTAGAATTGACGTAACTTTTGGTAAGGAAGAGCAGGCTCAATCTCTCTTGAAAGAGATTATCGTCACAATATATATATATATATATATATATATATATATATATATATTTACTGTCACAATATATATATTGTGACGGTAAACGATGGTGGTCGTGCAGTCTGTAATGCCAGTCACAAAATATTAAAAAAAAAAATAAACTGCAAAAGATGTCTTCAGTGTGATAAACTGTAGGATAAAGCAGAGGGAAAAAACATTTAAAAATACTTTACTTTTAAAATAAATTAAACAAATTACAAAAAATATCCAGGCTTGGCTTTAATTCAAATTGTGTGAAACAAACAAGATGAACAATCAAATTTACGTTACATTAAGGTGCAAAATAATATACGGTGCGGAATACCATGAGCCAGTCTGACTAAATCCGCTACCACACCGAGATGTGTTAACAGGTCTAATCAGTTGAGCACTCAGGAGTAATCTCAATCCTGGAGAGCTTGGTAGCACTATTTATACAGAATATCGGCCGAGCAGAGGGCGCTGATGTCTTCTTTAAACTATGAACCGGCTGTTAAACTGCTAGTTACGGAGGGCGTGGGCTCCCAGCGACCCAGGTGCGAGGTGGGGTGACGGGCCGTGGTGCGAGAGGGAGACTGGTAGACTGTCTAGACGTCTGGAAGTAGTTGTTGTTGTTGTTCTTGGCTGCAGTTATTTATTACATAGACGTTAATGAGTAGAATAGGTGATAATGGGGTAGGCCGAATCTCTTCCTAGAGATTTTACCATGACAATATATATATATATATATATATATATATATATATATAATATATATATATATATATATATATATATATATATATATATATATATATATATATATATATGTGTGTGTGTGTGTGTGTGTGTGTGTGTGTGTATGGCTCAGCCATACACAACTGCTCTAGAAAAACAATTGTACTCCAGCATACACAACTGCTTAATTAATGCACTCTGCTTGAGCAAGCAAGACTGTGCGTAATACACTCTGCTCAATATGCTGTACTCAAGCACCCGCAACTGCGCTCTTGTAGACACAACTGCGCTCAAGCAGACATCATTTGCTCACACCCTAATTAATTAAACAATGCTCACTATAAAACACTCATGAGTTCATCTCTTTGAGATCCTCAGGAAAATATACTGCTTCTCTACAAGCTGGTAAACCTCTAAGTTTACCAGCTTGTATAGGAGTTCTACAAGCTGGTAAACCTCTAGGAATTACCACAAATCAGTTATGATAACATAAAATAAATACACTAGAATAATAATGACCGAACCACGCATCAGAAGATGAAGATACGACAGGAACGACGAAGAAAGTCATTTCATCATCTTCTGAAGTGTTGTTTGGTGATGATACCAGCCTCATCGACTCATCGTGAGCCGATGATGAGTTGTGACATCGTCTGTGTATTAATCTGTAAACTCAGGTATGAGTTTATAGGTACCAACTGGCATCCTCCGTTATCGATGCCTGGTACCTGCCGCTGCCAATATATGGTTACCTTTTTTAAGTCCACTACGGGCTCGCCATAGCCCGTGCTACTTGGAACTTTTTGTTCCAGGTAGCGAATCTTAAACAACAACAATTGTGAGTGTCTTTAGCGTTTAATGTACTAGTGTAGTGGGTGGCTGCGGCACAGGACGGGACCCGCAGCCCCAACCTATGAGGGACTAGTTTATTGTGCACCCGGAGTCCATACCTAGTTATACACAAGAAAAAGTTAGAGAAGATTCAGAGTTATGCCACCAGGCTCGTCCCAGAACTAAGAAGTATGAGCTACGAGGAAAGGCTACGGGAGCAAAACCTCACGTTCCTGGAAGACAGAAGTGTAAGGGGAGACATGATCACCACCTACAAGATTCTCAGGGGAATTGACAGGTTGGACGAAGACAAACTGTTTAGCACGGGTGGAACACGAACAAAGGGACACAGGTGGAAACTTGGTACCCAGATGAATCACACAGACATTAAAAAGAATTTGTTCAGTGTCAGAGTAGTTAACAGGTAGAATGTATTAGGCAGTGATGTGGTGGAGGCTGACTCCATACACAGTTTCAAATATAGATATGATAGAGCCCAGTAGGCTCAGGAATCTATACACTAGCTGTTTAACAGTTGAGAGGCGGAACCAAAGAGCCAGAGCTCAACCCCCGCAAGCACAACTAGGTGAGTACACCTTTGTATACATTATATACACAAGTGTAAGTGTATACTCT